TGCTCACCTAAGAATATCTTAAGAATCACTACTTGAAATTCTAAAAAATTTCATCATCAGTGGTTCATAGTTATCTTTAAAATCAATATTATAAAGTATGTAATAAAATATGATAACTATAATTTAATACTGATAATATTTTTTAAAAATTTCATTTCTTATTCTATTTATTAAAAAAAGAAATCTTTATCGAAAATTATTCTAAATGCTCCAATACATTGGTAGCATTTTAGATAAAATTTTTTTACTTAAAGATTTCTAAAGAATCACTACTCGGATTTCCTTTAAATCTTATCTTCGGAGATTTTTCATTTACTTTAATAAAATTTATTAATATCTAAAAGTCATATAATAATATAATTATCTATAAATAAGTTTATTTCCTAAAAAAATACATATTCTTGTAAATATTTTATATTTTTATCTTTTTTTAAAGAAAATTATTCATATTAAAGAAAAATAAAAATCTTTGTGTTGAAAAGAGTTTATAAACATCCTAATACTTTAGTAATTTTTAGAATCTTTTGTTACTTAAGGAATTTGCAAGAATTACTACTCAAATTTCTTAGAGTCCCATTATTGGAAACTTTCATTTAATTTTATTTACGTTACATTGATGATGAAATAAATATAATGAAACCAAATTAAATTAAAGTTACAATTTTAACAATTTAGCATGTTTTGTCAAAAACAAATTTATTATCAACAACTCAAAGTAATTGAATATAGATTTATTCAAAAATATGAATGCAAAATAAATAAATAATAAACAATAAACCAAATAATTTAAAATGGATTTACCACAATTTGGGTCCTAAACCCAATTCAATGGAAGAGCTTCAAAATAAGTGGGTTGAGGCCTGGGCTTTGTCTATGGCCTGGTCTAGAGGTGGGTCCAATAGGTGAGGCTTGTGGGTAGCATATCAAGTTAGGCATTGGTCCAATGGATTTGGTTCATAAGTCGCGTTGACTTATCAGTTGTGGTCTGACCTGCCACATGCTTGTTTTTTTTTTTTTTCTCTTTAGCTATAAATCTTTAAGTTTTTTTTTTTTATTTCATTTCCAACCTTTTCTTTAAAAAAAAAACTCTAATCTTCAAATAAAACCTAAAAGCCCCTTTTTACCTAGTTTTCAATGCTTTAGGGTTATCGTCGTGTTTGACAACGAAAATTGTTCCATCTCTTCTAGTGATTGCCGTTTTTTTTCTTTCTTTTTTTCATTCCCTTCTCTTTTTTTTCTCCCCTTTTCTTTTCTAGTTTGGTAGTCTAAGCCAAGCTATTGTTTTTTCTTTTTTTTTCTCTTTTTTTTTCACTTTTTCTTTTAAACTGAAACTGATTTTATTTTATTTTTTTGTTTCAAAGGATATGCTCAGTGCTATGGTTCTTCCTTATGAGGAAGATTGTGATTTTGATTTTTTTTTTAATTTTTGGTTATGACAGAGAAAAGTGGGACTTTTTATGAGCCTAGGAATTTTTTCGATGTTTTATGTGAGTGGTGGTGATTATTGGCTGAGGGAGGAAAGGTTGGACAGCAAGGGAGTGGCTTTGGGATTGGCTGTGGAGGGGTCGATTTCTGGGTGATTTCGAGCTGGTAAAAGTAGTGGAGAAAATGGAGTAGCTTGGTCATGTGCTTAGGCGATGGGCTATTGGTAGGTTTTAGAAGGAGGGTCTAGTGTGAAAAAAGTTTGGTGTGCGTGTGTAGGGAGTGTTTTTGGATGGGGTTGTGACTTAAGAAAAAAATGAAGATTGGTGAGGCTATTGGTTAGATGGATTTTGGGTGCTTGAAGGGATGCTGGGACATGTGCTGGGGTTTCGGGTATAGAACTAGGTTGAAGGCATGAATTTGTGGTAAAATGTTGGTGTTTGAAATAGGGGTAGTGTGGGTGTTGGTGCTTGAGGGTTATTGTATGGGTGTTGGTGCTTGAGGGTTGCCTTGGTTGAATATAGGAAGGGCTATTGCATGCACTAAGGATGGAGCTAGTAAATGTGTGGGTGAAGGCTGAAGTAAGGTTGGGTATGCGCTGGGACTAGGGCTAGGTGATGGAGGTGAGTTTTGGGTCTTTTGGTTAGTGGCTGATGAAGGGGGTACTGGGACAGGGCTTTCTATAGCTTAGTGCAGGCAAGGATCTGTTGAACAAGGCTGGAGCTTGGGTTTGGGTGCTAGTGCTGGGGTTGGATGAAGAGTTAAAACTAAGGTCGATGGTGGCTTGTTTTATAGAGAAAAGGGATCTACAACCCTCTTATGGTTTTTTCATCCTTAGTTTTTATCTGGCATTTTGTAATAACAATCCAAAATTTTTAGTATGCAAAGTAGTGAAACTGAAAATCCTTAAAATTTTTGAATTTTGGCTTGTTGTGGCAATAAATTGCTGGTCACTTTCTCTTTTTTAAAAAAAAAAATTATTTTTTGTTATTTTCGTTTTTAATTAATTCAATAAATAAAAACAATAACAAAAATAAAACAACAATAAAAATAAAATTGGATTTTGAAGTTTAACTTGGATTTAAAATTGAAATTTGGGCATTTATCGAGCCTTTAAGCCCAAATAAAATTTGATTTGATTAATCTGAGATAAGTTCTAAATTAGTGAATTTAATTAAAATACTTAAGTTGGCCCAAATTGAACTATTCAAATCAAGTATAAAATCAAACAAAGTTGAATCAATTCTAATTAAATTAGGATGGACTTCAAATTATGTAAATCAATTTAAAAATAATTAATCCAGGTCAAACCTAAAGGAGCTTAATTTAATTAAATCCAATTAAGTTAGTCAAAACTGAAATGTTAAAATCAAATTTAAAAATCGAAGAAATTCGAGTTAGGCCAGGCAAAATTAGGTGTTTACAATAATTATTTTTCTATTACATTGGATAAACTAAACCATTTTAGTCCTTTTAAGATATTTAAAGACATTTTTAATGATTTTCCATTAATAAGTTGTACCAAACTTATTATCTTATATAATTTACAAAAAAAAAGATTATACTCAAATCTTACAATACTATGACGGTAATTTTTATTTCTTTTACTTAAAATTTATAAGAAATTATCACTCCACTATATGCAAATATGCATTCTTTTATTAAAGAATATCCCATTCAATATAAACATTTATATTTTAATCAATTTGTCATTTCATTTACTTTTTCATTATTTGGTAGTTTTTTTTTTTTTTTTAATAATAAGAGGCCTTTAAGTCCATTCTTAGTAAAAGATAACTAGTAAATATTATATATCTTAATATTTCTTTTTCATAAAAGTTCCAAAACTTTTATTTCAACTCAATATGAGAGTATGCATTAATAAGTGTGATGCCAAATATAATCAACCTCAAAATTATTTTTTTAGTAAAATCATGCTTTCTATTATCTTCTTTTGAGACTTTCATGCCGTTTCTTTGATACTTATAAATTTTTTATCCTGGACACTCAAGCAATATCTACCATGGTTCATGTCATTAACAACAACCATATATATTTTCTTGTATAACCACACAATAACATAAAGTTTGTATTCATAAGATACATGAAAATTTTCATTTAACAAATAAAATGCATTTTAACTAGTTATAATGAATTATGTAACTTCTCTAATTGAATTAAAGCTATCTTAGATAATATGTTTATTTCTTACTGAAACAATATTATATAAATGAAATAATATAAATCATGTATTATTCTCTTGTCAATAAAATGCAATTATGGAATATGGACCATAAAATATGATTTTATGATAAGAACACATATACTTTCTTCTTTTTTAAAAGATTTATAAATTCACCAATTCTTTTATCCCTTAAAATAATTCTAAAATATTTTATGATTTTGATTTGATGATCATGGTCTTAGCAAAATATAACAATGGTATAAAAGATTCATAACCAAAACTTTCAAGTGCTCAATGTCCATTTTATGCTTATGACCATTTCACGCCTTAATCAAGAAAATCCACATATGACATACCATAAAATCATGAATCATAAATTAAGTAATTTAATTTAGAATAAAAATTTTAAGAGAATAGTCAATAAAGAAGCAAAATTCAATAAGATTCAAGGTCTCTTATGAATTATTAATCATCAATTCTTTTAGTAGAATATAAAAGACTATAATAATAGTATGAAAATCTATCTTTGCCTGAGCATCAAATACAATAACAATAAGCCTAAAAAAAAGCAAGAAAGCCAATGCTAGTACCTATGATCAAGCATTATCACATTAGATTAGCATTTTTCATTTTCCTCTATCATAAAGGAATACTAAAGTAATTATGACTAATTTATAGAATACATTACAAAACATAAATATGTGGAATTGTGTATAAAGTGCAATTACCAAGTACCAACTCAATTTGTTGATGGTTTTTTCTGATATTTTAGCTGAGAATGAAGTGAAGTTGAAGGGAAAGACAACTATAAGCATAGTCATGGGGCGTTAGATCTAGGGTGTACTCTGATGCTTAAGTCAGTACATTGCTTGAGGTGTGTTTAGGAAACACGATAAAAAAGGTGAAAAATGGTGAAGTATGTAGGGGGAAGCCTCGAGAAAGAGAGAATGTGTGATAAGCTTAGTTCTCCTTAGTTACCTTGTATACCTGGGTTTTTTTTTCTTTTTACCTTTAGTTTGTGGCTAAGAATGATGATTTGACCAAAATGATTAACAATTAAAAGAATATTTGTGTGGAGCTTGAAGAGAGCTCACATGAATGGATAAAAATTGCATTTAATGATCCCATATAAGTGTGGGTTGCATTTATTACAAGAAAATAAAAAATTAATGATAGTTTTTTGGCAACGTTTTATCTATAACTGTCATTAAATTTCATGTTTTTATAAAAATTGCAATATTTTTTTATCAAAATGCCATGAATTTTCGAATAGCAGCATTTGTACGACAATCGCCACTAATAAACAAGAATTAGCGATGTTTATATACAAAACGTCACTATATCAAATAGTTTAAAGGCGTTTTTCTTTCGTAAATGCCACTATATTACAAAATTTAATGACGTTTTCTAAAATAAACGCCACAAAATTTTCTCCATTCCCCGCCCTTTTCTTTCACGCAAACTTTTCCCCTTTCTCAAATCTCCTCGTCTTCTCTCTTTCTCAATTCCCATTCTCCTTTGCCTTTACCATTTGTCCCTTTCTCAAATCTTCTTTCCGTTTTTGTGTTTTCCTTTTCAAACCAGCACCCAGTCCTCGTCGCTTCTAGTTCCTCATCACAATTTTTGAGAAATGTGGTTCCACTGCTAATAACTTGAAGTGGAAGGTGAGGCTTGGTTATGTTGATTGCGATTCTGAGAAGGTATTGTTTAAATATAATTTTACTTGGAAGAGCTGCGCTTCTAATCGACTTATTTATAAATTTGGAATTAGAAATTTGTGCAGTTGGCTTTTTCTTTAATTTCTTTGTGGTTTGAATTTGATATTGCAAGGTTATGACCATATAGTGTTTCAACAAAAAAATCCTAATTTCTTTGGTCATCTAGGTTATGACCAAAAAAAGCCCTAATTTTAGAAGCCCTAAATCATTCCCAACACCCTGTCATTTTACTAATCGTTCATTGTCGGCGATCAAGGAACCAAATAGGCCCTTCGGTTTTTCTCATTGTTATTTTTCTTTAATTATTTATATAAATAATAAATATCTCTTACTGCCTTTTTTCCTTTGATATGGTTGTGGTTGAAGTTTGTCGGGAATAATTTTGGAGGGATAGTGTGCTCTTGCTGTTTTATGTTTGGATAATAATCTCATTTTTTTTATTTTGGTTTTTAGTTCATGTGATTTTGGACTTTTTCTGTGAAGCATTTCAGACTTTCGGTCTTGACTTGATGAGTCATGACTCGTGAATAAAGACCCGATCATCGAAGTCTACGGCTTTTATGTGAGCTAAGAAATCCAATCTTAATGGGTTTTATTGAATCCATTTAGATATTCTCCTGTTTTCATTTTTGTACTTGATACTGCAAGGCTTTTATACATCTGTATTTGAAATTCTCTCAAGCGTAAGCTCAGGTGCATTTGTCTGTGCGACCTTAGCGGCTCGTTTCCTCCCTACTGGTTCCACGTTTTAGGTTTTTTCTTGAGCCTTCTCTAGAACCTCTTGACTATACCTTTGCTGATTGTTGCATCTTAAAATTTTTGCTACAGTTTTTTTTTACCTTTTCAAGCTGCTACATTCGTATCAATGCTTGCAGTGGTGTACATGAGAATAATTTGATGTAATTGTGTTATTATTAATGTTTGAAATGACTAATAAAGTTTTAATTTCAGTATATCATTTTCCCAAGCAGTAGTTGTTGCTCTCTTCAATAGTCTTGCAAAGGGTAGGGTTGATATCTTCATCAATGGTATGACTTCCTTTCACAATTTGAAATTATGACCTTTACCAAATAGAAACTTGAGATAAGTTTTTTGATCTCATGATCCAAATATACATAGCTAAAAATGACAAAATCAATGATTTAGAAGCAAACTCAAAGAAATGAACAAGCAAACTAAAACAAAAAATTAATAGGGTAGTAAAGCAATAGCATGAAAATAAATTAAACAAAAATTTAAAACACTTGATTCAAGTAACAAGTGCCTCCTAGGTGAATGCTTAACCTAGAAGCAACCTTGTACCATCCTTATCAACCCCTAACAGCCATGAAAAATCAAAGTAACAACAACCTAAAGCAAACATCAAAATCTGGAAACAGGGTTCTGGACAACATCTGATTAAAATTTGGTTTCCACTCTCATTTGATAGTATTTGATCTCCAATTTTTTTGTGGAAGTAACTAACTAATATATGAACATGCACATAAATTTTCAAGAGCATTGGACATCATTTAGAACTTGAAATTTAACCAAAATTGAAGCAATACAAAATCTAGAATTTCAGCTTGGAAAACAGAATAGCTGCTACTAAATCTTAGATCTAGCTCAAAATATATGGAATTTTGCTCTCAAATTTTATAGAACCTTAGATAACTCATAGATGAACAAGTACTAAAAAGCTTGATTCAAATTGAAACCAAATTGAACTTGAAAAGTAACAAAAACTAAAGCAAAATAAAATTTAAAAACAGAATAACATTCTGGAAACAGATTTTAAAAAAAACTAAATTTGCTAGCTTAATTAGAACTATTTGATCATGAGGGAGCACTATAAATCAAGCTGACAAAGTAGAGGAACAACATATAAAAGCTCATGATTTGTTGAAACTGAAATCAACTTGAAAATTAATTAAACAGTAGCCAGCATCAAACCTGGAAACTCAAAAACTTTGTTGAATAGAAATTGAAATTGCAAGCTTAAATGGAAAATGTTTGCTTAAAGGAACCAAAGAAGAGCTAAATAACAAGTAAAGGAATGTAAAAGAAACTTAAAATAAATTTAAATCAAAAGGAAAAATAAAGAACAAAGATTGAACAGCCAAGAACATAGCAGTTAAGGAGTTACCAGCACTTGGAGTTCCAACCAGAAAAAAAATGCTGAGGCATGTATGAAGGGGGGCTCTTTTATAGCTGAATGAAAGCTTTTTTAATGTTTGAACCCAGCTTTAAATGATGCAATCTCAACCTTCAAAAATGCCAAGTCAGCTAAGGGATATTTTGGAAGATAGACAGTTGCCCATAACCGTTTCTACACTAGCTGAAATTTTCAGCTAGCTTCCTCTCCCATGTGTTGCTTGTTTTGTTGGTCAAATGAGGTGTGTTATAATATTCCTGTTTGAGGTGAGTTTTCATCCTTCTAAAGTCTTCAAAAGTTGCATTTTGAGCTGTCCAAATTGACCCAACACTAGTCGGCAGCAAATCTTAACAAAGTTGGCAACATTTTAGGTTCAACTTGGTGTAAGTCTTTTTCGTCCAAAATTTGAGCAAGAAAATTTGTAGCATATGGGGGCTTTTTGTGCATAAGCAGCTGGCCATTTCCTTTCCTTTTTTTTTCATGTGCATTTGCTTGGAAGAGCTTACCTATTTCATCAAAGACTTTGGAACCCATGTGCACACTGCCAGCATCTTTTTCTTAGTTGCAGCAGGTATTAACTTTGAGCTGCTATGCTAGCTGTGTTTCCTTCCTTTTGCAGCACATGTGATGACATCTTACGTGGACCTATGATAATTCTATAAAAAATAAAATTATCAAATGGCAGTTACAAATTTATGATGCTTCCTTAACTTTGTGAATGGTAATACTGACTAGTTTTTTGATGCTTTTTGATATCAAATATTGAGAGATATAATACCAAACATTGATCAAAAGAGAGATATGGCTGCGTTCCTGCTAGAGGTATGTTAGGAATCTGGAAATGAAAAATGTCGTACCATACTATTTATCTAACTATTTACCTTTTGAAAAAATTATGCTTTAAAAATTGCTTGATTGGAATAATGTTCTTTTGGCAGGTGATAGAGTATGTCCGATATTTACAAGAGAGGGTTCAAAAATATGGGGGTTCATATCAGAGATAGAGTTCTTAGCCCACAAAAATCAAAAGCCAAGGGTATGTTTTTATACTGAATGCTTTCTATCTTTGAGGTTTAAATAAAATGTTTTTTTTTTTTGTGGCTTAAGCAGTTAATTTGCGATTTAAAAGGCATGCTCATGATGATTTGTATATATCCTCTTCGTTAAGCTATTAGGCATTCTATGATTTTTTTTTTTTTCATATGGGAAATTCAATTTCATTAGGCTAGTTAAGAATAAAATTGCTTAAAATCTTTTATAGGCATAAAATTTTTGGAGGAGCAAAAAATTGTTTAAGCAATATTTTTCATACGTTTATGGAATCTTTTGCACTAGTTTCTCGACTGTCAGGGTTTATTATTCAATCTATAAGAAAAAACTTGTGGATCAACGAATAATTTGCTATGATATTTACGTCAAAAGTCTTAGTTCCTATTGATTGAAAATTACTTTCTGTGTGTTTTGCTCACTCCTTAAAATTGCCTTTTATTGTAGAATGGCAAGTCAACCAGCCATAAACAATGTAAAGCCTTCGATAGTATAGATCCAAGGGCAGCCTGTTGCTTAGAAGAGTGGTTGTTGCTTTTCCTAAAAACTTAACGATTTATTAGAAAGTTCTCTTTCTTTTGCAATATGCTGCCTCTCATGACTTGTAAGATTACACGTAACTCATCAATGGCAAATTTATTTGTTCTAGTTCATTTCTACATGCTTCATATGAAAGGCTTATACAATGTATAATTGTTGATTTAATAATAATGTTCTTTGCTTTCTCATACCAAGTGTTCTTTAAGTGTAGCTATTACTATGTCTGAAAATGAAAAAATGGGTGTTTGTATTTAGATATTTAAATATTTATAATATCCTGTTTATAAATTTAAATTCGTTTTTATTTTTTTTAATAAGTTTTATTTAATTATAGTAATAAATAGTGAAAAACCTGTTAAATTTCTTAATTAGCGACGTTTGTGTAAAAAATGTTGTTAAATTTAGTGACATTTGTAGTGAAAAACACTGTTAAGTTACAAAATTATCGGCATTTGTGTCGAAAAATACCATTAACTTTAGTAGCATTTTCTGACACAAACATTGCTAATTTCTATAATTTAGTAGCGTTTATGCGCAAAAATGTTGCTAAATTTAGTGGCATTTTTTGACATAAATGCCACTATTTTCCCAGACATAGGTATAGCCAATGCTCTTAGTTGCATTTTTGGCAAACGTTACGAATTTTTAGCAGCATTTATAAATACACTAAATGTTAAAAAAAAATCACTAAAAACCTATTCTTCTATAATGATTTAATGATCTTGGGGTGGCATTTGATGATCTAGAGCAAGTTGGTGGCCCATTGGTCAATTTTGAAGTGACTACCTTGGCAAGCCATTAGTAGGCCTCGAGTGGGCCTTTCCTTTGGTAGGTGGCAAATTGCCTCCTTAGAGTAAGTGACGTGACTATTTAGGCATGCCTTGCTTGGGCAACCTAGGGGCCTTGATGCATTGACCAGATCTCTAGTCATTGACCGTTTAACTTAGGTATAACAATTGTCACCAAGATTTGAGGACTGCTATAAAGTGACCATCCTCAAACTGTCGTCCAAAGTGTAAAAAGATGAATCAATGGAGATTAGAGCAACAATGCTTTAGAAAGGGCTATTTTATGTATTGGTGGGCAAGATGTGATAATGTGTCCTGATGAGGGTGTGATAGGGATCTATTATTAATGTGTCATGCTGCGAAACCATGATTGTCTTTGGGCAAATAAGAGAATTGGTATAATCACAAGGACGAATAGGTGAGGATTTAGAAACAATTTTCTGTAAAGATTTCTAGTACTTATCCGTGGAGAGCACATGATCAAAATGTGTCTGATAAGAAGATGTACATGTCCATGTTTCTGATAGAAACAGCTAAATAGCTACATGTCATATTGTGGATGGAAGGCTATCAAATATATTTAGTGGGTGTATTTTTTGAAAATGCATTATTTTTATGACTATTGATTGGGTGTGTTTTCTCGATATGTATCGATTTTTAATGGAATAGGTCAAGAGATTTGAGAAATTTGATGAGGAAGTTAATTCATGCATATTTCTAAGGAGGTGGTTTAAGAGGCATGTTTAGGTAATTAATTTTGAGGGTAGGTAAAGGGATATTAATAGGAATCACTTCATATTCCCTTATGAAATAATGGGAACCGCTTTAACTTATGCCATTTCAAGAGTATAAATAGAGGACTTGGGTTTTTGAGTTCCTCACTTTTGCTTGTTGGTTATGGAAAAGCCATTTTTTTTTTTTTTTTGTATTCTACTTTATCTTTATGTAAGAGAGAACCCAGGGGATGACTTGCAATTGAATTTGTTGCGTCATTTGAGGCCAACTATCCTTTAGATCATAGTTGACTAGATTGTATCAAATGTGAGCTTCTGGACTTTTTGGTGGTTTACTGGTATTTTGAGAGTTTGTGCCATCTTGCTGGTTTTTCAGGATCCAAAGTTTCATTTTGATGACATATGTGTCTTTGAGCTAATCAAGCACCCTGACATCTTAATGAAAGAAACAAACTAGGAGGATGGTTTCCATCTTTGAATATGATGAGCTTTCTACCTGTCAAGCTTTATGATGATGCTTCAGTGGGAAGGAGAAGAGAATAGGTCACCTTTGTTTTGTTTTGCAGCCTTGTTTATCGTGATAGAAAAGGACAATGTTAGAAAAAAAGTGACTCTTCTAGTTTTATAGGTTTTCTTCCTACTATGAAAGCTTGTGGATAAGAAACCATCCTAGTGTACATACTTCTAAAGACCTCTAGCTATTGAATGCCTAATCCAACTCGTGATGGTTTAATTTAGAAATCATAGTTTTCAAGTGTCAGGAAAAAAATCGAAAGGAATTACAGCTCAGAAAAGTGTGATGTCAGTGGAGTCAGACCTTGACATATACTTTTGTTCTTCAGCGGTTACAGTTCAAATGATTATGGTATCAAATAGAGAGTTCAGCCTCTCCAGCACTTGCATGTTTTTTATATCTTTCTTATGATAATTCCTAGAAGAAGAGTTGGCTAGGCAAATATCATAGCCATTCTTTAAGAGTTTTTATACTTAAATTGTAGTCTTGTGTCTTTACTAACAATGTATATGTTTTTTAGAATATGTTTTTTAAATGTCAATAAAATAGATTTCTTGTTATATTTACCATATATGGTTGTTATGCTTTTGATAGCTATGACTTTAGTCAGCACCATGATTTGGGAACAATTGCTGACATAGAATAATTGAGTTAAAGATGAAAGAATTAGTCATCTATTCACTTGTGAAAGTAGTTGAGATAACAATCAGATAATTTACTAGACTTGTTTGGATATTCACTCATAGAAAGTGACAAAAATGAAGATGAGGAAATTATCCATTTGCTTACTTGTAAGAAGTGGCCAAGAGAAAGACCAGACTATTAATGAGATATAGCCTTGGAATTGGCAAAAGATAGCCAAGATAAAAATAAGGGGATTACCTATCTACTTTACTTGTAAGAATAATCCAAATAGAGGCTAAGAAGTTGGTCATGTTTGTTGGATAGGATACTTAAAAATGGGTTAAAAAATACCAAGTTAAAATCAAGCCTTGTTTAAATATATTGATCTTATAGAATACCCAAGTTAAAATCAAGCCTTGTTTAAATATATTGATCTTATAGAAATTAATCTCTAACTAAGATTGAATCGATAAAGTAGATATCAAGTAGTGATGTTGTTTTCGAAGAACTTATACTACTTAAACTAGAATCTATAAGATATGTTCTTCTTGTAGATACCCATTTTTAATAAAGAATAAACCCAGCATAATGGACATTAAGCAATGAGATTGTACTTTTTTGGTCTGTGTGAATTGAGTTAGAATGTGCAATCATTATCTCATGTAGTGAATAGAGTTAAGCCACAGAATATTAGAAAAATAATATAGGTTTATGTTGTGAACTAAACTTTTCTTTGTCCAGATGGAATTTCAAACTTAATGAATTTCATAGGATACATTAGGATAGAATTTTGAGCTTAAGGTTGTGGTGCTTTAACTAACCTTAAAGATTGCATGAAGAGTGAATTTATGAAGGGGAGCATCGATTCAAAGATACTGCAAGATCAAAATAAAATAATAGAGATAGAATAACTTGTCAAAAATAACAAGTAGATGTATCTTGCCATAAGACCATTGAATTGTTTTGAGAAATTTGGTGTGATAGCCAGAGAGATGTTGCACGAAAAGATAGAGGTGCTAAGGGCACGTTGAACATATTGGCTGGAGTTTTAATGTAAGAAATAGAAGTGCTAGGGGCACATTGAATGTTTTGGCATAGAGCCTTAACACAAGAAATAGAGGTGCCAGGAACATGTTAAGTGTGTTGGCATGAACCCTTAACATAAGAAATAAATATGCTAGGAGCACGTTAAGCGTGTTGGCATGGAGCCTTAATGCAAGAAATAAAAGTGCTAGGGGCATGTTGAGCATGTTGGCAAGAAGTGAAGATTATGTTAACCTATATGCCTTAACATAAATAATGGCATGCAAGGCATGTCGACAAAAAGTGAGAACTATGCTAACCCATATGCCTTAATGTAAATAATGGTGCACGGGGTGCATTGGGCGTGTCATGGCTATTGTTCTCGCAAATGACACCAATTATTGATGGTTTTTTCTAATGTTTTAGCTGAGGAGAAGGAAGTGAGTTTGAAGGGAAAGACAGTTGTAATCTGTAACTAGAAAGCACGGTTAAGGGGTGCGCTCTAATGTTTAAGTCAATACATTGCCTGAGGTGTGTTTAGGAAACACAACAAGGAAGATGGAAGATGGTGATGTGTGTGGGGGAAAGCTTCAAGAGAGATAAAGTGATAGGCTTAGTTCTTTTTAGTTACCTTGCATACCTTGTTTTTTTTTTTTCACCTCTTGTTTGTGGCCAAGAATGATGATTTGACCAAGATGATTGGCAATTGAAAGGATGTCTATGTGGAACTCGAGAAAGGTTCATGTGAATGGATGGGAATCACATTTAATGATCGTAGGCAGGTGTGGCTACATTTAATGATCCAAGGTAAGTTGGTGGCTCATTGGTCAGTTCTGAAATGATTGCCTTAACAAGTCATTAGTGAGGCCTCAAGGGGGCTTTCCTTTGGAAGGTGGCAAACCATCTTCGTAAGGTAGGTGATGTGGCTATTTGAATGTGCCTTACTTGGTGACCTGAGGCCCTTAATGTGTTGACCAGAGCTTTGGCCATTGACTGTTTGATTTAAACATAACACTATGATCATGATTAGCATAAAATAAAATAGAAAAACATGTAATTAGAAGGTGTGTTTAATCCAAGAACTTATTTATCCATCCACGCCAACTAGATTAACTAGACTCTCGTTGAATTTGGGCATATATTTTTAGGTTTAGTTTTGATCCCATCCGATTAAATTGTTTTGTATTAATAAATATTTAAAAAATAAATTATCAATATAAAAATATTATTTTACTTTCATAATAAAATAATAATACTTGGTTTTAAAGAGAAACTATATATTTGGCCTCCTTAAAAAATAATGAGAGGCTAGATAGAATCGATCTTATTTATTAGCATCTCTACAAGTAATAGAAGTAAGTATATTTACAATTAATATAAATACAATAATATTTGAAAGATAAACTAATGCAAAATGTATGAAAGATATTTAAAAGTCACATGGCATGAAAAATACAATGTAAAGTATACATTTTGGATTTTCTTACTCTAAAATTTTTTAAAATTAATTAAAATTTCAGTTCTATACATTATATTAATGTCACATCTGACATGGTGAGAATGCCATTACCACACTAAAATCAAAACATCCAAACAGGTGGCCAATTCAATTAATTTTCATTTGAGAGTTGAATTTTATCGTATTAGTGGTATGGTAAGATCCAAACCAACTCTTAATGAATGTTCAAGTGATGTTTACATTTGTGGTAGTAGTATCTATACATTTAGTGGGTATGACTGCTTATGAAGCCAAGTAATAGTATTGCCTTTAGATGATGGAATGTGATAGTTGTAGGGGGTTAGAACATGGATAAGAATATTTTGAGAAATTAAGGAAAGGTTTGAAGTCATGTACCACTTGTGTTGCAATTTTATCTGTCCTTTTAACTTGATTAATTGATAAATAAAATGATTTTAAATGACAAACATTAAGGATGATTAATTGTGTTTTGTATTAACAAAATAAACTCATTAAAAATATTAATGCATGAGAAAAACCAAGTGTTAATTGGAGGGTGAAGGCAAGTGGGTTTAAGATGTGATTTTTCTTGAATATAGAAGGGATACGTGGACTTAATTTATGTTATTCTATTAGTGTTTAAAGATTATTTACTATATTTGTGCTATAATTATATATTATATTTAAACATTTGATTTAATAATTGATATATAATCACCTCTCAAAAGAAGCAAGTTTTGAATTTCTCAAAACCTATACATTTCTTGCTATAATATACCATTTGACTAATTAGTACCAATAAAAAGAATTGCAACTATAAAATTATCGATGGTGATTTTTTTTAGGGTAAATTTTATATATACCCTGTGATTAAATGCGACTTGGCACTTTAAAGTTCAAAATGTGACACATAACCACCCTGAATTGTTTTTTTGTGTCATTTTGTTAGTATTCATTGATGTTGTTAATGTCTAAGTCATATTTTTTGTTGCCTTCTCCTCTCCCTCTCAACTCTTGCTTTTTGTTTCTCAAACTTAAATTAGGAAAAACTTAATAAGCTGGCCGATGGAGCTTTTGCTTCATTGTTGTGGCTTTGATGATGATGGTTGCTAAATATATCATGGAGATGGTTCTTGTTGTTGCTATAGGTGTTGCTTCTGATATTGTTGCTTTTGCTACCATTACGGCTAATTTTATCAAGTTTTTGGTTATCTAACAAGTGGGAACGGTGAAACTATCCAATGAATTTGTAAAGGACCATTAAGATATTGGGAGGTGTGAAAGAAGATGGAGAAAAAGCAAGTGGCCATGAAAAAAAATGTCATCTGTTGGAGACAAATCAATTGCAATTGAAGGTGGGGTTTTGGTTTTACCCGAGATTGTATTAGAGTAAGAGTGGATAGAGATTGTGAAGGAAAACTCATGAGAAGGAGAGGAAGATACAAATGCTGAAGGATGTGAAGCAGGGGATATTGATGACTGCTACTTATCTGTTGAACCTTCTTTTTTGCCTTCTTCATACTTATGATAAAGTACATAAAACAATTATTGAAGTAGTTTTTCATCAATTTTTTCATTGATTTTTTCCCTAAAAAAAGTCAATAGCTTTTTATCCAAAAAATTTTCTTCCCATTTTCCATTTATTTTCTCCATTTCAAAATTTCTAGGCTTTTTTTTTTCTAAAAAATCCTATCTTTTCATGGGATTTTGATGTATCTTGGATTTTCAAATTCTGGATTTTCAACATTTTACTTCAAAAATAGTTATTGTGGCTTCTATGCTTTTAGGGTTTTTATAAAAGCCCTAACTTCCTAAATCTATGTTTCATGATTTTCTTTGAATAGGTATTGAGTTTTCAGGGTTTGAAGATTGTAAATTTCATCAATGGTGCTTTAGCAAGTAATTGTAAGCGAGGTAATAATGGGTATTTCTATTCCAATTTTAGTTACAAAAACGAAACCTCAAATTCAAATTTTTTAGATTTTCAACTTTCTAAAAAACCTAGAGGGAATGGGGGATTACCAAAAGAGGGAAGTGATTTTTGTGGAAGATGATGAGAAGAAAAAAAAGGATGTGGTTTTAGATTTGTGTGCGGATTACCAAAACTTTTGAGAAAAAATGAGGGATAAGGAGACAAAGAGGCACTGAGGGGAAGATAAGGGTTTAGGTGTTAATGGTATCAGTAAATACTAACAGAATAACATGAAAAAATAACTCAAGATGATTATGTGTTACATTGCAAACTGTAAAAAGCAATGTCAACTCGCATTTAACCACAATATATATATATATATATATATGTAATTTACCTTTTTTTTTATGTACATCCTGAGCTTCGTTATTTTTACTTAGAGATCAACTTGGGTGGCGTTAATAATAGTAGTTTTCCCCAGCTAACGTATTTACTTCCATTGCAACTAGAATTGGTCTTATCCATTTTGAGTGATGATCAATATTGACCTTATGTTCTGTTTAACAAACTAAAAAATTAAGTGCTGAAAAGTTAAGTACTAAATTCAAATTATAAAAGCTGTTCGATATTTTACTGATAATTAAATATTGAATATAAATATATTGATTGGTTATTGTAAAATATTTAATTTTGAAAATTTATAATTTTACATTTTTACCTTTATTTTCATTACACATAATAAAGTAGCATTTTTAGGGAATACTAGTTCAACGAAATTTAAAAGAAAAATTTACTGAATGTTTTATTTTTGAATTAAATGATAAGTCTTTATCTACTTATATTATTCAACGCTTTTGATTGAAAATTTTCTACTAAGTGGATTTTAAAATGTATTATCAAACACATTAAAAGAAATTAAATTATTAAAATTTTCCATTTTAAATACATTAAAAATTTTAAATGCGTCATCGACCAGGTTGTTTAGTTTTAGTTACATCCATATCCTGGTAAAAGGTGAAAGAATGAATTAGGTACATGATTTCTAATATTATTTGGAAATTTATGGAAGGAGATGAAAATATAAACCTAGATATCTTAACCCTCTTAAAAGAAAAAAATGTATATAGTTCATAAATTATACTGTTGCATAATCATACAGTTCATAATTACATGCAACATATTAAATTAATATGACATCAATGAACCACACAACAGAAGAATTTTGTTAGGTAAAAAAAGAAAGAAAGAAAGCCAATAAATAATTAGTAGATCCTCAAATAAATTTCAATTGCAGAATGGGAAGTACTTAAAATTTAAGTATCGTAGTAGTTGAAAAGTTAGAAAATTTTAATATTTTTATACACAAACTATCATTGAATTCCACCTACCTATCGAAATCTTATATTAATAATAGTTGAAAAATTAGAAAATTTTAATATTTTTATACACAAACTATCATTGAATTCCATCTACCTATCGAAATCTTATTTTAATAGTAGTTGAAAAATTAGAAAAATTTAATATTTTTATACACAAACTATCATTGAATTCCATCTACCTATCGAAATCTTATTTTAATGCTGTACCTCGACAAGAAAAGGAAATGCCAGTGCCGTGGTGTCAGAAAACTATAGTACATAATTATTTCAAAAGTTGGGAGGATGTCAAAATAAGTGACATAATGCAAGTGGATCATCGAAATAAAATGATATTAATGCCAAGTCAAGCTTTGGAAGTATCGAGATTGTTAATTTTGAACTTTGCTTCATGGTGCATTTTTTATCGGTCTTTATTAGATATAAGAATTTGTTATTCATGTACATAGAGTGACTCTATTCTCTCATCTATCTTATCAATACCCTTTGATTGTTCTTTCAAAATAAATTTTGATAATGATTTGTTTGAATAACTTTATAAAATTTAGAGTGGACTTATTTATGGATTAAGCAACTTGACCTGTCTTGACAGGTGAAGTTTTAGACATAAATTTTTAAGTTTTTTGAATATTATTTTATTAATAAAATATTTTTATATAAATTTAATTTTAAAATATATTAAAAATATTACTATCCAAAATATATTTTTAATGTAGTGTCCTAAAGAATAGATCTAAGTAAATCGAGCTTAACATCTAAAAATATCAACCAAACTTAATTCAATTCAATTTTTGGACAATTTTAATTTAAATTTTCAAAAAAAAAAAGAAATATAAAGTTTAATTAAAGATAGAATTCAATTTGATACCAAAAATAGTGAATTTTAAACTTTTGAACTAGAAATAAAAATCAAACCCAATACAGGAAAAGCCGAATCAAACTCGAGTCAGTTTTTTTTAGCTTCATTATTTTCCCCTTCTTTTGGGTTACATTCATGAATCATGATTAGACCTTAACCTACTCAATTTAATGCTTTTGAATCTTTAAGCAAGCTTGCCCATCTATAAAATTGATAGCTAATATTAGGAAGTTCTTCTATATTCTATCTTAGTTATAGCCAACGAAAAAAAAGAGTCATGGGCTTGCATGGAATCTGCAAGGAGTTTTCCATTATTGCAATGATGTTTGTCGTAATAATTTTGTGTTCGTCTGATGAATTTAGAACCAAAAATAAAAAAATAACAGAATTGCTACTAATTTTTTTTTGTTAGGTGCGATTGGTCACCTATTAAAATTTATCATTCTAATAAAATTTTAAAATTAATTAAAATTTATTAAAAAGATAATTTTAAGGTTTACGTAACAGTCTGGGTTCGAAAGTGGTTACGTATGGGAAAAGATTAGCACCCCCACAGCGTCCGTTTAAAACGGTACCAATTAACTACATGTTATCTTTCGATTTTGATAAAAATAGTCTTATTTTTGGTATTTAAAAATTAATTTTCTTGATTTTTTATTTTTTATTTATTATTTTTATATTCAAATATTATTCGAGAAAAATAAATTAGAGTTTTTTTATTGAAATAATTCTTAAAATGTTCCAGTACGTTGGTAACATTATAAGAACTCTTTCTCACCTAGATATTTCTTAGGTATCGCTTCTCGGAATACCTTAAAATCTCATTTTTGGAGGTTTGAATTTACTTTTTGTAAAAGAAAATATGTCATGTATGCAATGCAAATAATAATATGTTAATGCACGCATTTTATTCTTTTTTCAAAAATTTTTATTTATTGTTTTATTAACTTTTATTTTTTAAAAAAATAAAGAAAAGATGAATTTTTATTATATTGAAGATTTTCTATAAATATTTCAATACACTGGTAATATTTTAAAAAAAGTTATCACCTAGAGATTTTGTAAAGCATCACTACTTGAAATACTTTTAGAATCCCATCATTCGATAAAATTTTTCTTTTCATATTTTTTTTATCAATTTTATATTATTAATTAATATTATAAAATAATAAAAATTTATTTTGATAAATTTAAACATTTTTACATGCATAAATAATAATAATAATTAAAATAACAAAAATAATATTTAAAAAATCTTTAAAAAAATTCAAAAAAATTTTTTTTTTACCTGAATTAGATCGGTCAATGGTCCGGTCGGATCGGTGACTCGGTTCAATTTGGAGGTTCAGAGACGATTTGGTCTGGTTCACTTGGATCGGTCGAGGGTAAAAAGGGAGAATGGGTCGTCGGGTCGGTTGCACGATTCTCGGGTTGAGTTGCGGGTTGACGCACGAATTCTCAGGTCTCAAAACGGCATCGTTTTGAGTATTATTGAAACGACGTTGTTTTGGGTTTAGTCTTCTATATAAAAGTCAAAAATTGTTTTTTTCATTCATTTTTTTTCCTTTAGTAGAAAAATAAACTTTTTTTTTTACTCAGTCAAAAAACAAAAAAAAAAAAAATCATCGGCCGACCATCGATCACTGTCGCCGGTGCTCGAAAAATTCCACAATCTCCCAAAAGCTTCTTTTTTTCGTCCTCGTTCCAGATCCAACCTTATTTTCTCTAGAAATAGCCTTGATAAGCTTAGATCGAAGCTCAAGCTTTCGATTTTTTTAAACTAAAACTAATTTTTTTTTGTAGGTAGCTTCTCCGACGCTGGGCTCCCCGTTTCAGAGGACTGTTTTTATTTTGTTTCTGTAGAAATTTTTTTTTATTGACAGAAGTCCCTTGTTTTTTTTTATAAAATTTTTGGCAGTTTTTTTTCTTTTTCGGTTTCTTCCTCCTTTTATTTGCAGATTACAAGCTCTATTTATAAAACTTATTGGGATTCAAATCCCAGATCTTTTAGGATTTGAATCCCATTTTTCAATCGAAAATTCATGCTTGTCATGCGTGTTAGGCGGCTTGTCGGTCGGCCGTTGATAGCTAGCGACGACGATTTTGGACTTTAGGGATTGTGCATTTAATGCACTAGATTTGAACCGGATAAGGAAGAAGAAGAAGAAGGAAAAAGAAAGAAATATAAAGTTTAATTAAAAATAGAATTCAATTTGATACCAAAAATAGTGAATTTTAAACTTTTGAACTAGAAATAAAAATCAAACCCAATACAGGAAAAGCCGAATCAAACTCGAGTTAGTTTTTTTTAGCTTCAGTATTTTCTCCTTCTTTTGGGTTACATTCATGAATCATGATTAGACCTTAACCTACTCAATTTAAAGCTTTTGAATCTTTAAGCAAGCTTGCCCATCTATAAAACTGATAGCTAATATTAGGAAGTTCTTCTATAGGAAGCTAATCTTTAAGCAAGCTAATATTAACATCATTGCAATCATAGAAAACTCCTTGCAGTTCTTCTATATTCTATCTTAGTTATAGCCAACGAAAAAAAAGAGTCATGGGCTTGCATGGAATCTGCAAGGAGTTTTCTATGATTGCAATGATGTTAACTGTAATATTAACATCAGTAGCAGCTCAAGCAAAACCTGGCTGCCAAAGCCACTGCGGCTATATCAGCATTCCATACCCCTTTGGTACAGGCAAAGGTTGCAACATAAGTGAATACTTTTTCATCAGATGTAATACCACTTTCAACCCCCCAAAAGCATTCTTAGACACTGATAATATTGAAGTGGTCGACGTAGCTCTCGATGGTCAGTTGCGTATACAAAACTGGGTAAGTTATGACTGTTATGGACCAAAAGGTAGCCTTCGGTACTTAGGACGCGAGCTCACCTTGGCCAAATTCACCTTATCTCGTACCAGAAACAAGTTGACAGCTGTTGGTTGCGACACCTATGTATTCTTTGAAGGTTACTCGGAGTCGGGACAAAGGTATTCGACCGGATGTGTATCGTTTTGTAATAAAACAACCGATGTGACTAATGGATCTTGCTCTGGTACTGGCTGCTGTCTGCAAGAAATCCCAGAAAGAGCAACGAGTTATACCCTCAGTTTTTCTAGTTATACATACCATGCCGATATATTGAGTTTCAACCCTTGTAGCTATGCATTTGTTGTGGAGGATGGAGCCTATACCTTCACTATCCCAGATCTTTATGGTTATAATATGAGTTACAAGGAATTCCCATTGATTCTCGATTGGACAATCGGGAATCAAACTTGCAAAGAAGCTAAAAACGAACTAGAAAACTATGTTTGCAAGGAAAATAGTGCTTGCATAGACGCAGAAAATGGTTCTGGATATTTGTGCAAGTGTCTCGATGGATTCCAGGGTAACCCTTAGCTCTCTAATGCTCGTCATGCTTGTATTTGGGACTTCGGCAAAGAAAGCTCACCAAACTGAAGCAAAAATATTTTCGGCAAAATGGTGGCTTTTTATTGTGGGAACAACTTTCAAAGCGTGAAGATTGCGGTGAAACAGCTAAAATATTCACAGCTGAAGAACTCAAAAAGGCAACAAACAACTACCGTGAAAGCAGAATCCTAGGCCAAGGAGGTCAGGGAACTGTTTACAAAGGAATATTACCTGATGGCAGGAACGTTGCCATCAAAAAATCCATAATAGGAGATGAGAGCCAAGTTCACCAATTCATCAATGAAGTAATTGTGTTGGCCCAAATCAATCACAGGAATGTGGTAAAACTGTTGGGATGTTGTTTGGAAACACAAGTTCCTTTACTGGTTTATGAATATACAAGAAATGGAACCCTCTTTGACCACATGCACAATGCTGCTCATCATGCCCCTCCCATACCATGGGAAACTCGTTTGAAAATAGCCACTGAAACTGCAGAAGCCCTTTCTTATTTGCACTCAGCTGCATCTCCTCCGATTATTCATCGCGATGTCAAGTTGACCAATATTCTCTTAGATGACAATTACAATGCAAAAGTATCGGACTTTGGTTGTTCAAGATTGATCCCTTCAGATAAAGCACAAATAACAACGCTTGTGCAGGGGACTCTGGGATACTTGGATCCGGAAAACTTGCATACAAGTCAATTGACTGAAAAGAGTGATGTTTATAGCTTTGGGGTTGTTCTCATTGAGTTACTAACAGGACTAAAAGTGCTTTCTTTTGAAAGACCAGAAGCAGAGAGGAATTTGGCTATGTTCTTTGTTTCTGTGATGAAAGAGGAGCGCTTGGGGGATATTCTTGATGGACGAGTGGTGAACGATAAGAACATTGAGCAACTTAAGGAAGTGGCAATTTTAGCTAGGAGATGTGTGAGAGTGAAGGGAGAGGAAAGACCAACTATGAAGGAAGTTGCCTCTGAATTAGAAGGACTGCGTGCAATGAAGAAACGGAAGTCTGGAAAAGATTATTTGCAGGAGGAAGAGGAGCATGAACACTTACTTTATGGCGTGTACAACGACAGACCTGGTTACGAAGGTTCTAGCATAAACTCGATAGGCTATGACAGCATTAACAACCCAGACAACTTTGAAATTTATGGTGGGCGATGATTATATTTATATTGTTACAACTTATCATCGTCTAAACTTTTGGGTGTCCATCTTACTATTTCTTTATTCCTTTTTCGGTTTATGAAGATGCATGATCTAATATCGTCAGCAGAATCGGTGTGAATGTGATATAAGTAATAACCGATTTGATCTAAACGTTGAACTCTATAATATTTTGTCATTTATTTCTCATTTCCTTGTGAATTTCAAGTAATGTTTTATCCTGATTTTTTGTTAGATCTTTTCTTTTTTATTCTTTTGTCCTTGTAACGATAAGGATACAATTAATTTCTCACTAGACCACTCTGCCTCCTGATCAGTCTTAATTCCTCAAAGAGATGCAATTTAAAGCAACTTGTCTCTCATTCAATTAATTTCCTCATCCATGGTTTTAAATGATCAAATTATATATATTCATCCGTTTGTGTATATATATAAAATAGAAATACTTTTTTTGAAATATAAAGTAGAAGTACTTTGACTATAATATTTATTGTAATACTATAGATATCACATCGGATATATACAATATTAATAAAATAAGAAAAGTAAGTAAATTAACAAATTAAGAAATACGAGAATGATAAATTCTAATATAACATCATATCGTATTGATAAATATTGGGACATAAATTCTGATATAAAACTTCCAAAGTCCCTTCCTTATCATTATTCATTTGGAAAGAGAATTCATCTTTTAAAAGTAAAAGTTAATTATTTTCAGGTGAGTAAACACTTTTTAATTTTTATTGTTAGTTTAAGTGTAGATAATAATTCAAAAGGAGAATAAATTGGATTATCTTTAAATTCTTTCCCAAAATAAACTTCAGTAAATTAAATGAAAAATTAAAATCAATATACTTTTTAATGAAAATATAATGTAATAAACAATAGTTAATAAACTTGAAACAAATATGAATAACAATGAAATTAAAAAGAATAAGGATAGAAAAATTAAATATAATAATTTATAGAGATTCAGTCTTTCTCCAAAGGACCTACATTTTTTTCTTTAACTTTCTTAGCCAAGCTTTAAATCCACGAGTAAAATGTTTTTTTCTAAGTTACAATCTCTATCTTGTGAAGCCTAAAGAGTAATCTCTACCCTTTGTAGGATTATACTCTATCTCACTATAAAGCTATCAAAAGGATACCACACCTTTTGCTCCCCAATCCCCTTCGGATGTCAAAAGAATTTGCAAACAAGTAAAAACCCTTTAATAGGTAAGTTTTTACTAAGTTTAAGTATAAAGATGAATTGACAAATGTGGCTTAGATACAACAAATACAAGGATAAAGAATCGAAGCTCTAAAAGCTCTTGAATTTTTAAGGATTTTGATTGAATGCTCTTGAATTCTTGAGAGAATGAAGGTAAGGCTTGTTGGTACTTGATCTCTTGCTCCATAAGTGTGTTGAAGTACCCAATTTATAGGAAAAATATGTTTGTAGCTATTGGGGATTGATTGAAAGAGAAAATACCCGTTGAACATTTGAAAAACTAACCATTTGAAGCATTTTGTACAAGACTCGATCGATTTGATTTTGGACCTGAATGATCCTGTAAGTGACCCGATCACTCATTTCTTGTAAATGATTGATCCCTTTTAGCCAATTTACAATTTTGTGGCTTTCTAGATAAAAAAATTGATCAATCCATTCACTTAGGGGATCGATTCATTTTCCAAACCCTAGACCCGATTGATCTTGTAACACAAGGGATCGAGCCATTTTGTCAAGGAATCAATTTTGTTAACTAGGGGATTGATCCTTTCTTTCCAAACTTGTATAAAACCTTCTTTAAACATGGAAAGAAGTTGATTTTTTTATCTTAAATCATTTTTCACTTGAAAAATAACTAGCAAAAGTTTTGTTTTTAAGTTCAAAATATTTTTCCAAGTTTTTCAAGTTTTAGCAAATCAAATATCATTTTATAAAAACAAATTATGTATTTAGTACAAAACTAATAAAACTTAAGAACAATGTCTAAACAAATCTTTTACAAAATCATAATCAAGCTTATTTAGCTTAATGTTTTGTCATTTTAAAATAAGGATAAATTTAAGGCTAACAATCACCCTTTTTTTGATATGACAAAACTTAAAGATAAATTTGCTTAGTGAAAAACATTTTAGGGTTTTGAAAGCTATTTTCAAAATTCATTTTAAAAAGGTCCCCCCTAAACAATGCATAGCAAAACCCAATAAATTCTCCCATTCAATAAATGTATCTCAACCTAATCCAACACAACTCAAAATGCAACGTACATATGTTAAAGCATATATAAGTACAACTAAGCACACATAAACATATGTATATCAAAGCACAAGCAAATTTGTCCATTTCACCACCTTTTGTCATAGCAAAAAGTTTTTAGCAAATATTCACAAATTCATTTCTTCCCCATTTTGTTTAAGGTCTCCATTTTTTTGCTAATAGTATATGTCATAACATATAGATCCATTGACCTATCACTAGATATGATATAAAGGAGTCATCATCAAGCTCTTTTGTCTAGGTGCGATTGGCCACCTAACTGAATCTAGCACATTTTAAATAGAGTTTCCAAGCCTGACTTATGTATATTTAAAAGGTAGATTCTAGTCCATGAAACCAGATTTAGGTTTGAGAGTACGGTTTATATGTGATAAAGGTTATAAAACCCTCAAAATATCCATTCAAAAGATGGTACCAATTTGATTTTGTATTATCTAAGCTTTAAAATGTGTTTGTAATTTTGTCAAGTAATTTAATTATTGAAAATTGATCTTAAAATTACTCCAATAGCTTTGTAGTAATTTAAAACAAATTTCTCATCTCATGAGTATTCATGGAGACGCATACCCACTTTGAACAGGCACCATCATCAGATTCATTAATATATTTTTCAAGAAATTAATATTTGAAAATGATCAATAAAATCATCCAATCATTTGGTAAGATTTAATTTCAATGCACATCTCTCAATAGCTTGGTGGGATTTTTATTTAAAAACTTTTTTATGAAAATTAAAAAAATCATTAAATCTTCTAATAATTTGGCAAGATTTAACTAAGAGATTTAAATACTCCAATCATTTGGTAGGATTGAAAATTTATTTTTTTCAAAAATTCATTAAGTCCTCCAATTATTTGGTAGTACTTAATTCGAAATTTAAACCCTCCCATCGTTACTTATTTTGAAATTTAAATATTCCAATCATTTGGTAAGATAAAAAAATTTATTCTTCACAAAAATTCATTATGAAATTCTCCAATCATTTGATAGAATTTATAATTCAAAATTTAAATCCTCCAAATATTTGGTAGGATAAAGATACTATTTTATTTCATTTTTCTAAATAAAAAAAATATTATGAATTTCTCCAATCACTTGCTAGAAATCATAATTTAAACATTCTTAACTCATAAAAAATCCTCCAATTGTTTGGTAGGATTTATGGATTTATTTTGAAAAATTCTCTTCTTTTTTAGAATTATCAATTAAAACAAATAAAATTTACATAACTAAAATGAAAATTAATTAATTAATTAAAAATAAAATATTAAAATCAATTATAAAATTAAATTAAATTAAATAAATAAAATAAAGAAAAAATCAAAAAAATTAATGGCTCGGCTCAGCTCGGCTTAGCTTAAGTTACGGCTCAACTACAAAAAGGATAGTTGGCTTACCCATTTTTTTATCATGTCTTAGATTGCGGCTAGAAGTGATAATAGTTCAGTTTGGATTGGATTTAGTTTGAGTTTTTTCAGATATTGTATAATATTATGAAAATTTAAAATTCGATCTGAATTCGAACCAAATCAAATTTTACTGGTTCAGTTTGGTTTATCGATTTTTAGTTTTTAATTTTTATATATTATTTTAATATAAAATTTTAATATATTTAAGTATTTTTTTATATAAAGTTATTATTTTTATTTTATAAAAATTTAAAATATATATAAAAACTAAGAAAAATATATAATTCAGTTCAGTTTGATTTTTGTTTTATTTTTCACCTCCAGATATGAAATCTGATCTAAATCTAATATATCTATTTAATATCCAAACTTGATTCATATCGAATATGAAAAAAAATCAATCCGAACCAAACCAAACACTATAGCTTCGAATCAGTTTTTGGATTTCTCAATTTTTTTCTCACCCCTAATTGCGGCTCAACTCAACTTGAATGAGGGCTACTGGAAATAAGTTACAAGCCGGGTTGTGCATAGGTCGGTTGATGCATTGGCAAAACACGTAGATCTTTACCCTTTTTACTCCAAAATAGCATTGTTTCTTCTTTGTATAAAAGCCAAATATTTTTTTCTCAAATTGTTCTTTTGTTCTCTCTTTGTTTAGTTTTCATTTTCTCTATCTAAAATGAATCAGTAGCCACTAGATTTTGCAAACAATGTTGTAAACTGCAAATCTTGCCAAAATTTTCATCAAATTCTAGAATTTTCAAAAAATTCCTAGAAAAAAAAAGAAAATTTGAACAATTGGCTATTTGATTTTGACTTCCTAAGCACATTTAACCAAGAATTCTTTAAAAAAAAAACTCCAAAAATTCTTCAAGATTCCAAAAAAAAAAAAAAAACTAACGAGATTAACTCCCACTCCAAAAAATTTGCACCTCGCTTTTTTGACTCTTTTCTTTTATTAATCTCTAATTACTCTCTATTTGATGTGATGATTGTTGTTGTGTTGTGTTCCTTTTTGTGCTTACTACTAGTCTATTTATAGGATAAAGACTATAGGTTTGATAAAGTTTAAACTTTTTGGTAAAACACTTTAAGTCAACTTAATCTAATCCCCTAAAATTCCATGGATTATCTAAAATGGAAATATCTGCATTCTTAGCCAAACCATTTTTCAATTTTCCTCATTTTGTTTTCTACTTTTTTTTTAGATAAGAAATAATAATAAAAAAAATAAATGAGATAAAGTAAAAATGATGATAAAAATAAAATAATAACAATAAAAGTAAAATAAAGATAAATAAATTAAGTAAAGAATAAAAATAAAGATAAATACAAAATTAAATATAAAATAAATATCAAGATAAATATAGTAAATAAAAAATATAAAATTAGACTTTTAGGCCTGAAACTAAGTTAGACCCAATTGACTTAGACCCAAGACTAAATGAGATATTTATAACTATCCCTTTTTGCACATTTTTTGTGTAATAGGAATTATACAAAGACATAAATATCCATTATGTTTGGGTTTGTAGATGAAATTATTTGGACCTAACCAAATGTCAAAATGTCTTGGATACGA